GGGCGGGGCGCCACCTCGCCCTCGCGTGCCCGGAGTAATCAGAGTGATGACTACTTCCACCAACAGGCAGCAGCAGGGGCTACCCCGCGGCCGCTGCGCCCGGGCTGGGGGGCGCTAGCTGCCCACCCAATGTTATTGTGGCCAAAGAGCCACTTTGGGGGCTTGCGGAGGGTGCGGCGCGTCTGCGGTCACCCTTCTTCGTTCAGCGCCCGGAGCTGCCGCAGAGCTGCCCTCGTGATCTCGTATAACGGCGATAATGATCGACCGAGAAGTGAGCGAGATAAAGGGAGAAGCGCAAGGGAGCGAGATAGGGGAGCGCAAGGGAGCGAGGGAGAAAGAGAGAGGGAGAGAGGAGAGGTGGACTCTCCATTCGATATCAAACCCCTGCTCCGTTTGGCACTCTATATCACTTCAGCCCGAAGCCCAGCCTGCTCTCCTCCCTCTCTCCCGCGGTGAGTTGCTGCAGTGCAGACTCTCCCCACCGCCCCCCCCCCTTCTCCCCCAAGGTCCGCTGCCTATCCCCTGCAGCTGTTCGGCCATTGATCAGTCCAGGCCCAGGCCATAGGGCTGCGCGCCGCGCCGCGCGCGCGGGAAAGCATGAAGACCTACAGACGCGCGACTGGTCGGCCTGAAAGGCGCCAAAAAGCGCCGCAAGTATCGCCCCCTTTTATTTCATTTCCCTGAGCAATAATATTCGCCTGTTGCTCTTCCTCCTACCCTCCTCTGATCCTCTCTCGCCCTACAGAGCTTACCATATAATTACTCGCGGGGACGCTATGGTAAGAGCCATTAATGCGCTTGTGCAGCTCGCCCTGCCCAGCATCAGCATGAATAAGGCACACCTCTCCTTCTCCTCCTCCTCCCACTACAACAACCAACCGGCGGCCTTGGACCCTACCGGCCCGACCCAGCCCAGGAGGACCCAGCCAGGACCCAGCCGGGCCCGGGTCCGGGCCAGAGGATTTCGACCGGGTATGCCACATTTACGGCACCCACGGGGGTGAGCAAGGGGGAGGGAGGGGGACTCAATTATAGGATTATGACACGCTGCGCCGGAGTATATTACGCTCCATGCACATGCACACACATATACACACATGCACACACCACAAGTGGTCCGCCATAAAAAATGTAAAACGTGCGGAGAAAAATTATTAGTGACACTCTAATCGTCCGACCGCGGATTAAAAGCCAACCGCGTGTAATCGTCTTGAGCAAACAAATGAGTGTGCAATTAGTGAGTGAGCCTTTGCGCCTTTCCCCTGCTTGAGGTGGAGGCGTCCATATTTGGGTAGCGCCGCCCCCGACCCGGCCCCCCAGCCCAGCCGCCGCGCTGCGCCGCGCGGGGACAGCTTGGCACCCTGCCAGCCCTTCTTTACCCCTTCCCACTTGTCGGTCGCAAAAAGAAGGGTACGGTGGGGGGGGGGGGAGGTACACCACGGCGAGGCTTGCGACGGCGGCGGTGGGGCGTGGCGACGGACAGCGGCCTAGTCGTCGCGGGGCGTGCACCACCACTACTAACAACAACATCGTCAGAGTCGTCTCTAATGCGTCCAAATCTTTTTGTCGATCAATAATATCAGGGGGGCGACTGTTGTTCAACACACTGCCGCCTGTGTATGACATACTGCACGTCTTATGCAAAACAGATAACAAACAAAGGCATACTGCTGGGAAAGAATGGGGGTCGGGTGGGTGGAGATGAGCAGGAAGCTGAAGAGGAACAGGAAAGGTGGGGAGGCAAGCAGCCAAACGGGCGCTGATGGCGCGGTGAGGTGAGGCGGGGCGAGCATGACGACGACGCCCATCTCCACCACCAGTGCGGACGCCATTCGAGTGCATGCATATGCGTCAAAACAAGGGGGGACTGACGAGGCATAGCGGAACGGCAGAGGAAGACGACTCGAGCACTTTCCTCCCGCGATGCGCCCTCTGTCTCTCTTTCCCCCCGTGATGTCGCATTGTTTGAGGTCGCGCCGCCTGCTGCTGCTCCACGCCAAGGACCCCGTGTCCCCGGTAGCTCCTCGCGGGCGGGTGTTAATGCGGCAGAAAACACGCTGGCCTAGTCAATCTTTGCCGAGGAGCGGTCCCGGCGGCAGCAGCGGACGGACGGACGGATGGACAGACAGACAGACAGACAGACAGACAGACAGACAGACAGACAGACAGACAGACAGACAGACAGACAGAACTACTTCTTGACTGTCAAATGAAACACGCTTAAAGAATCGCCCCATTCGCTATCAAAACCGTAGGATCGATACGATACAACATTCACTGTTAGTCCCTTACGAACAACTGCTCTTCGTAACGTACAAATGATTTGGAGCATTTGTATTACAAACAAATTGTTTGTATTACGAAGAGCCTGGTTTGTATTACAAACGAGGCTTTTCGTATTACGAATGGGGGGTGTTCGTAATATGAAGGAAAATCGTTCGTAATATGGCTGCTTTAGATCCTTTGTAAGTTACAAACAAATCCTTCGTAATACGAACACCGCTGTTTGTAAGGAACTAAGAGTGTTGTAACAACATTTGTCGGTTGCGAGCCCGCCGCGCCCCGCAGCCGCCCCGCTCGTACTACGCTATGCCAAGGTACTCACTCAGCACCAGCACGAGTCGTGCTAAGTAGATTCTGATAATGATTGGGGGTCCGACCGGGCCCGACGCGCGGAGGGCCGAGGGGGCGGGGCGCTGCGAGGCCAGCCGGTCGGCAGCGCCCGCTCACAGTTTCTCATACCAGACCCCATGCCGGCCGTCGCCGCGCTGCGCCCTGCCCGGCCCCTGCGCCCTCCGCGAAAATTGAATTGCCTCCGCTGCTGAACGGCGCGGCGCAGTTGGCGACGGGGCGAGCGCGACTCTGGCGCCCCGAGGCGCAGGGCAGAAGAAACAAGGGCTGTGCCGTCGTACCCTTCCCGCAAAGACGGTCATGACATTTGTTAAACAAGTAAGTAAACAGCTAATATTGGTTTTGAAAAAATAAAAATTACTGCGTTCCGCTGTATTGCTGCACTGGAACGGAACGATGAAGACATGATTGCAACACTCGTCGGTCCGTGATAGCAGGAACCTCAATACAGAGGACGTTGTACCGTACCGGTATGCGGATGCACTCACGCGCGCGCGCACACGCACACACACACACACATTGCGATTCACGTGAGCACACACGCACTGCAGTTGGCGTGACCGATATACATGCAGGCTGTACGGCAGTGGAGAATCCCGTGGCGCCAATGTTGGCCGCAGACCGGACACAATCCCGTCGTTAACAGGTAAGCAGCGGCGCCCAGCCCGCCTCGCACCTGCCGGGCACCTGCCGGGCCCGCACCTGCAGGTGTGCGGGGCGAGCAACGCCTCGCAGCTGACGCACCGGAGAGACTCCCGCAAGTAGCAGGACTTGCAGCCGTACGCGCGAGTAGGCCACCCGCT